AATTCAGACACACGAGGACGTGAAGCCTCTTCAACACTTGCGTTTATTTGCACGTCGATGAACTACGGCAGTAAGGCAACTGGAAAGTGTCCTGGGAAACGCAAGGAGACGTCTTTACTGGGAGAAGAACGAGCAATGAAGTCAGAAGAAGAAGAAATGGTAGCCATCGAGGTGGAACAAGCGTGAAGACCGAGGGACCATCAACCTGGGCTACTGTCCTCAAGCCGTCAACGTAATCGCAAGGAACTATTATCCCTGTCACAAAGAGGAAGCTAGGACAGGCTTAATTTCTGTTCGTGTCGTGTCTGCGTTTCACAGTGCCTGAGCACTGGGTTATATAACACACTTGTAGAGGTCAGGCGGACTTCTGGTCGAACCAAAGGAAGAAAATGAAATGCGGAAACAGCTAAGGGGGAAAGTAGAAGTAAAGAAAGGAGAAAAGACAAAATATGAGGCAATGGAAGGAGCCAGCAGGTGAGCGCCAAGTGGCGTCTTCTATAAGAAGAGTTCTCATCGCTCCAAATGCGGACACAACCTTCACGGAACCCAAAATGTCGGCGTCCCTTGCGTGTCTGGGTAAATCACGCTGCCTCTCGCCCCACGTGGCGACTTGATAGACTCCCGCGGGCGGTATTTACATGGCGGCCGTGCGAATCTATGAGGTGGGGAGACACACTAGCGTGGCGCGTCGGATACTTGAATGGCATGCTGGAAAGTTACTTTAAACAAAAAAGTGGAACACGCAAAGCGTTCCGTACAATCATTCCGCTGCCCGCAACACCGCACAGTTCCGTCGCCAAGGAGACAGCCACCTTCAGTACAAAGCACTGTTTCACATTCCCAGTAACTCACTGGTATTGTTTGATGTCGTTATGTTTATCAGACAGACAAGGCGCAAATTATTCTAGTTACTAATCATACCAAGACATGTCTGAAACTAAAATCCTAGATCACGTTTCATGTCACGTACAAAGTGTTTCCTTCACTCCGTCTGGAGTCAGTCTGAAGCTACGTTGCAGACATTGAAATTCGCCTTACACACTTTTGTGCACATTTCTGGTGCAAACACGGATGGGAACAAGTCGAGTAACTTCACACGCGCTGATATATGCACGACTTCCCTATTATGCGTTCACTTTATGCAAATAACGTTGCGCGCCTGCGACTTTTAATGCGGCTGAGTTTCTCAATTGACGTCACGCAGAGCAGCTTAGTTTCCGGATATACGTCCATGATACAGCCTCGTTTTGCGTCAGTCTGGCGAAAGAATGACGCAAAACGTGTGTCTTACGAAAGAAGACAAGGCTAGTTGATGAAGCGACGCCGAGACTCGAGAAACTGCAAAATGTACGCACGCGCGCACGGCTGCAACAACTCAAGGTACCCGAAGGATTGGACCTCGTGCTCACAGCACGCGCCAATGTGAATTTAAAAGCCACGCTGTTTCGATTCATGGTCTATAAATCACCCAACTACAATCCTTCGCGGTGTCGCCATGTTCCAACTTCCAATTCCCCGACAGCTCGGTGTGGCTTCTCTATCTGAAGTAACGACACTGTAGATCCACACAGGTTACCTCTGGGTTCCAGCTAAAGTCTGGTAAGATACCTCAAAACTTGTTAAAAAGAGAAAAAATGAAATTCCGACGTTTCAAATTCTGAGAATGAAAACGCCTGTGAGACTATGCAATTTGCAGCACGCAGCTGCGAAAGGTGCTGACGCCCGCACGGCGTTAGGCACGCTGAAGTCAGTCAAAAAGTTTCTCGTTGTATTTCGATACTTAAAAAAATCGAAGTTTAAGAGAGGCATTAACGGCGCGCGGATCCACAAGCGGCCCAGGAGGTGGGAGGGAGGCAGTCACGGTTCTCTGGAGGTCGAGGTGATTAACCTGAAATGGTAAGAACAAGGGATTTCCAAAGCAGTGGGTAAGGACAGACATGCCCACGAACTACTCTCCGCTCACGCGGAAAACGCCTCGAGATTAAGGCAGACGGTTCTCTGCAACGCCCTCTTTTCCTCCCCGTACATTACTCATTTCTTCCACACTGTAAATGAACACAGAACGAGATTCGACATCGCTAAGACGTATGATACTTAGCCATTTAACCCACCTCCTTCCTGATGTCTCCACGAAACATTACGTGTTAAATTCTTATCTCTCCATATCGAAATACAAGTTCAGCCCGTGTAATTCTCCTACAGAGCACAACCGTACTTAGTAACTGCCTCAGCATAATTTAAATACCATTGCAATCACTGAGATGACATAACGACACTGCGAGTAAGTAGACAATATACAAAGGAAGTTAGCAAGGTTGGATCAATAACTCGTGACAAATACGCAAATCTCTTCAGCAAAGCTTCGCAGCGAAACACGGAGAGAGTTCTCTTCACTACCAACTGCTCAGAACTGAAACCGAACCGAGGTACCGGAAACTGTTTCCTGCCCTGGCCTTTTGATCTCGCAGCAGACCCCATGAAATGAGTACGAAACAGCACAACTGAGATCGACGTGAACAAAAAACCCATTCACCAGTTTCAGGACAAAAATTATCACAATCTGTGGCTTCAACACAGCAACGAGGGGCTGCTAGTTACGAGATTCGAAACGAGACCTTTCGATAGCGCGATAAAGCTTCGTCGTGGCAACAAGAAGGAGAACTAGGTGAGATTTCAGGTTCTCACGGCGACGGGTATGAAGACGAATACCATCTATGACGTTGCGACGCGTGGTGGTTTCAGAAGCCGTAGATTTTAAAATCTTAGAGACGCAAGAAAATAATATTTTATGGATCAAATATGTTTTCTCCTCAATGTTGGAAACTCGTAACAAAGTAACGAACGCGTATTCTGGCATCCTCTGTTTTGAGGTCAATTCAGACACGTGTCTGGACCAAGACCCAAAATTATAAGAACTTCACTCACGCCGGGACGAAGCCGTGCCACCGCTATCCTAGTCAACGGACGGAGCTCCCTCCAGTCATTTAAAATCGACTGGAGTCCCCACGTCCCTATCCCAAGCCCCACCAGGCAAGAGTTCCTTCGGCCGATGCCAGCACAAAAATTCACGGCCTTCGTCAGTCCCCGAGGACACAGATTCTGAAGAAATCCAGCAAGACAATGCTTGAACAGCAATTCCTTTGAACGCTGTTAGTCAAACGTCCTCGGTCGCCATATCCAATATTTATTCAAATGAAAGAAATATGAAGTTTCTTAACAGCAAATAATATGTAAATTTCAGAATGTTTACAAAAAGCAATTATACAACTTTTGTTTGCCATTCGCTGCACGTGATTATTTATCGACTCGCCTAACAAGTACTTCCACGAACAACTTCTGACGTCAGCATCGATTTATGTCCCCCCCCCCCAAGGCAGGGGTATTATTACAGAAACTTTAAGGGGCAAGGCCCGCCTCCCCCAAATCGTGGAGGCCCTCAGCCAAAGCGACTCCAACCTATCTGGGTTCAACAGCACAACACCAATCCAACCACAGTTCTCTTGAAGATGGCTGTCTTCTGGTAGAAGTTTACCGACATTTCATTGGTCCATATCGCCCTGATGATGGAGGCAGCAAGGACATCCGAAACGTCGGTGAACTTCTACCAGACTACATTGCGCAACAGCCCTGAAAACAGCGATCTTCATGTGCTAAAGAACAATTGGTTTCAGTTTTGTTTATGGCAACCACGTAAAAGCCTAAGATCACTTCTCGAACATCACTTAAGAATGCGTCCCTCCAATACTGGCTGCAAATTAGTTTGATGTACGCATGCGCTGACACCGGAGGCGGTTCGCTGTTGGATCTCATACAAATCAGCAGTGAAAGAAGAAGAAGAAGAATTGTAATTGACACAAGAAACAATTAACTTTCTAGCAGAAGAAAACATCCAAGGAACGGGTTACGTAACATGTGGCATTGCGTTTCCTCCGCCCTCGGAGCAGGTTAATTTTTTCCGTGGTAACGCGGATCCACGCCTTTTTACACCGCGTCGCATACGTCACAGCCCTTCCGAGTCCCCCACGGAGCCTGGAACTACGCGAACACGACACAATTCCGGTGCATTACTGGTATTTCGTTCGCTATTTATTCGCAAGGAGTTCGGTACAAAAACAATTCAATCAGTGGTACAGCGATGTCCACCGGGCAGGTTATCTCAGTGTTAACGCCTCTACTTCGATCTGTCCACTGACGTCACCTTGGGGCCACCACCGTAGAGTGAAGTCATTTGTTCTCCCACGTCACGGTCCTTGGTTATAATTCGGAACGACAAATCAATTCAAACATTGCGATTCTCCCTGCATACACTTCAGTGCCATTTTATGTCCTTTTTAAGAACTGCAGCAGAATGGAGAACGCGAAATTCCTCAGATCAATCAATATCAAACAGAGAAGTTTTATGGTAGCGTACATCAGACTTGGTAGGATTTGAATTTTTCACGGCGGTCGGCCCGAAGATGGCTGTCTTCTGGGTTGTTGCACCGTGTAGTCTGGTAGAAGTTTATCGACGTTTCAGAGCTCTTTGCTGCCTCCATCATAAGGAACACTCTCATCGCCCTGATGATGGAGGGAGCAAAGACCTGTGAAACAGCGGTAAACTTCCACCAGACTACACGGCGCAACAACCCAGAAGACAGCCATAACCTAGCTAGAATTTTACATAAGACTTCATACTGAACGCAGCTTCCGAACTGCCAGCAGTGGTCCAGCCCTACTTCTTAAGGGCGCAGTCCAGAGGCTGGATGCTGTGGAACACGCCATGGGCATCTTGACAAGCTGAGCCACAGAACGACACTGCTCCATAGAGGTAGTCGCTTGTGTTCATGGCAGTTCGGTTGTGTGTTCACGTGTAAAAAACTTACTCGTAACTAAAACTGACCCTTCCGTAAAGACGTATTTACGTCAATAGAAGACAAGCCTAATTCTCTTACACGAGTTCACAAATGCAGATGAAAACATTAAATGTGATGAACAATTAATAATAAATAGGAATCCCTTACCTCAAACTTCGTTCAATTGTAAGAGACCACGACGTCCACCCGCAGTGACCAAGATTTCTTAACAATTCTTATATAAGTAATTGTGATATTCTAAAAGGATTTTACCAGCACAAAAGTATTTCATCAACGACGCACTTCTTCTACAAGCGATTCACAGCTCAGCTCTTTCCGCAATAACGAAAGCGGATTGTTGACGGCAGTAATGTAACACAACAATGCCGAGTAAACATTGACGTAACAATTAGTTTCTTAGGTAAAGGAGTAAAGCATTGTTACGCACGCAGGAGTTCATATAAAAGCTGACCAATGTCGTAACGCTGTTTTTGCCGAATGACCCTTCCGTATAGACGCATTTACGTCAAAAATTGCCTTTACAACGCAAAAGTGTTCTCGTCTGTGAGAGCAGAAGACAGAAGTGGGAACACGCGGGTGGCACAATCGATCTTCTGTTAAGCCGAGACGGAATAAACTGAATTCGGGGGGAAGATTTTACTGCAGATACTAATACGTAATTTAATCGAAATCCGTTGAGTATTTTCAGAGACAAATCACGCAGACTAACTGAGAGGCCTCTCACGGTCCATCGTCAGTAGAACGCATAATTAATTATACGCCTGAATTACGTATTACCTTGAACTCGTTTCATGTCTACAAAGAAGAAATGTTCAATAAACCTATTTCAGTGATTTTCAGTATAAATATTTTGGTAGCGTGGCCTGTGGGAGGCTCAGTGATCGTGGTATGCATTAGAGTACGTTAGAAGCTGCAAGGAATTGCAGCTGAGAATTCAGGTCAGCCAATAAGCTCCTAGGACACTAGCAAAGGAATTAGGTCCATTTATTTGAGTTCACATGTTTTGTTTTGTAAATTATATAGTTGCGTATGTTTTGCCTAACAGCAATGCGATTGCACAAGAACAGTACAAGCCTTGGCACGCTGTAATGACGATCTCGGCTTCATTAATACGATCATAAACGCAGGTCTTAATCCTGCCGGAAGCAGAGAGAGAGGCATGTCACGTGATCTACGTATCTGTATACTGCGTTCCACTGTTTTTGGCCGCTGAACTTTGTGAACTGGAACCTCGGAGCGAGTCTCTTACCAGAAGTTTGCTGGAAGGGATGACAGCAGAACGCGTACAGTACGTTCCAAATAAAATATCACCACGGTATGTAACTCAGGAACGTCGATTTCACTACAATACACATCACTAGAAAATTAACACTGCAGAGAATATTTGATAATTTCATCTTCTTCGCAAGTCTTCGGTCCTCTTCTAAGTCTTTCAATCCTCACAGACCACCGCCTTCTGACATATCACTCGAATCATCACCACCGCTGCTGCTGTACAATCCATTATCTTCAATTACATATATTGGTGACAAAACGTGACTAGGCGTGACCACCTTTGAAAGCGTGACGAGAGGACACCTTAGGTGTTAAAACATCACCAAGATTTTAAAAGCGTGTCCAAGCGTGACGTACTGTAACGGCGTAACGAGATGTGGGCCATAAGTGCCGAAACGTGACTAATGTTTTCGAAACGTTACCTTATCTAACAAACTAACATAACCTAACTAAACCAAACCTAAACTAACCTATCCTAACCTAACCTGTCGTAACTTCATCTAACGTAATGCAAATTATCAAAAATTAATCGAGCCATACGTAACATAACATAAGTGTGCCGAAGCGTGACTTAGTGATCACGAGTGCCCAAGCGTGAAAAAGCGTGACCAGGCGTAATCTGTTCTGACCTCGTGACAAGAGATCACCACATGTGTCTAAACGTGACGAAGATTTACAAAGCGTGACCAAACGTGACAAGGCGTGATTAGGCGTGACCTGCTATAAATACATGACGAGAGGTCACCATAAGTGTTAAAATACGACGAAAATTTGAGAAGTGGGAAAGATGAAATGCGGAATAAAGAAAAACATGACGACACAAGTGATGACACACGCAAGGACGGGATTGTGCAGCCCTCATCAGGGCCCACAAGTGCACCTGAACTGTAACAAGCATTTCACAAAGTATTTAAGAATGAACTTATTCTTACACAGCCGATTGCAAATGCTTATTACGACGCACATCTGTCTTGAAATTTCAACACCAACAGCAAATGCGGACAAGTGTTGAAACCGAAGCTCGAATACCACAAACCGATCAGTTTTTGTATAGGACATTACAAATTTAAACGCCTGACGTCAGCAAAACACACAGTGGCAGTGTCTTCAAATCATGTAGCAGCTTTACGTAATGTTCACAGAAGGCAACTTTTACTTTTTCGTGTAAAAACAAAAAGAAAACAGCTCAAACATGAAGACGAGGGAAGTGTCGAAACACGGGAAGTGACTTGCTCCAACTCTAAGTCACCATACAAATTGGTAAGATAACTTTCGTGCCTCATCCATAATAACATTCAGCTGTTGATCCAGTGTCTGAAAACATGAACAGCTAACTCAGTGCTCAAGGTGTTGACGTGCACATAATTACACGAAGGGTTGGACATGAAGCTCCTGAAAGGAGAATTGCATACGAAGTTTTGGTAGAGACGCCGCCACTTCGAAGAATGAGCAGATGGACGGAGCTGGGGGCTGAGCGGAGCGTGGAGGTCGGTCGGTGAGTTAGTGAAGACTAGCACTATTGACTATAGACTATAGACAGTCTCGCCGTTGTCCCTCAAACACTGTGCCCGAAGATTCGAAACTCACTCGTGTTTCCCAGTAGCTTGCTACGTTCCCCCTACAGTAAATAATTAGGGCGACGGGGAAGCGGGGGTTAAGTTTCGTCTCGAAATCCACAATCATCTGTCCATTCGACAGCAAGTGGCAGTATTTCTGACTGGCCACGAAAGACAGCCAATCCTTGGCCTCCTACAGTTTCACTATCGTAACATCTGTATGAACCACGGAGTTCGCTACGAAATGCCTCAAACCGCTCACCAACTTCACTCAAACATTCTCGTAAGCTAATTGCTCTCGGACACCTGTCAGAGTCAGAGACCATGTTTCGCACCCATAAAAACATTTGGGGAATGACTGGTTTCTGCATCCGTGTCTTCGGCGCCCGCGTAAACTAACGACGTTGTTCGGTAAGGTCTATCGGCGAGACACCAGAAACTAGCCGCTGAATCCAATCGTGACCCTAACTCACATACAACTGTAACAAATCTGTCCAGAGGGAAAACTATCTCGAGACACATTATGATGTGACGTCCATCGGACAAACAACATCCTGACACTATAAAACATTTTCAAGGTGGAAATCCCATGGAAAACCTTGGAAATCAAAATTAATTAGTCAATAGCTGATGGAACATCCTCCAGACTAATTGAAAAGATCAAATGCTCTCATGTAGAAATGTTTACCTGCAAAACGTGTAAACACATTCTTCAAATAGCTTGCATTTATAGAAACAGAGATTCTTAAAAGTCAAAGAGCAAATAATACAACTCATCGTCGCGCCGAGGAGGTTCAGTCAGCGCCTGAACGCGATGTCACACTGAACATCGCCCAGCGTGAGTGGCGTTTCTCGGCACACCACCAAAGCGTCTAGTCGACCACACACAAAATTATCCTATCTCAACGAATGCTATGTACAGTCCTGCGGTTTTATCGAGACCTCTGAGTTGTGCTGCGCAGATAACGTGACGAAGACCATTTTGACATGCGTATCACGTTGCGTGAAGACAGTTCCGATGATAACGGATAAATGACATTGCCTGCGAGTATAAAAACGCCGACAGTAAAGCACAGCCAATTCTAAGTAGGTTTCAAAACTATAAAAGTAACTACAGTGAAATGTAGAGACAGCGGCAGGCCGATGGTTTGCTGGTCAGAGCGAAAAATATGACAAGAAAACGCAACAAAACGAAATTCCACTAAATACCCTTAAAAACTGGTTTTCAGCACACATGTCCACAACTCCTCATTTTAGACAGCGGAGATGCCTTAAGTCCGTCAGATCCCTCGTGCCTGACAATTACTGTACAGTCCAAGGCTCCTACTGGGTCATCAGTTTTTCTGAGGATGCCCTTGGACTTTCTATTTGCATCTGACATTTCATGTCATTTAACAGCATTTTAATTATTGTGATTTAACACGAAATTGCAAGCGACAAGTGGCACGGACGTTGAGCTGACGGTGACTTTCATACGACCATCCGTAACGCAGTCTCCCAAGAAGTTCTTGAGAATTTCGTTATTTTGAATAGAGGAAGCGTCTGGATAGAACGAAACCAAGACACTATAACTGTGTCTAAATGTAATTAGTAAACACGACGTTTCGGGAGTTCAATCTGGCCTTCAAGTGAATGGCTGTCAATGTAGAGCGAGTGAGCCGGTATAATTGAGCTCAGATTTTATAGGTTTAACTGAGGAAGAACTGGAAAAACGGAACACAGTATACAGCTTAAATATTTCGGGTATCAGGTATTAAAAATATTGTGTTAATCTAAAAATACAGCAGTCATTCGTAAGTATCGATAAATAATTCGTAGTATTCACTTGTTCGCCTTGAAACAAGCAGTTAAAATGCTGAGGAACAAGGAAAGAAAATGAAGAATTTCTGTCGACAGCTGCCTACTGGAATGTCCGTGGTTCTTTCGTTTCTTCGTATTTTAAGAGCACGGACGTACAATTGGCGAAGTTTGGATGAATTCCTTCGCCTTTCCCGTGCTGGACAGAAATCTATTACGGGAATGTGAATATTCTTGTCTTAACTGAGACTGCGCGCGCGCGCGTGTGTGATTAATGAAGATAATGTAGATACCGTGTGTTTAACGGGACACTCTCAACAACATAAATCTGAATCAACAGCGAGTAACAATGCGAAAAAGGAAAGCACTGGCAGAAGATAACATCCTGAGTCTCTGAAACTAAGGAAACACCAGGACGTAATCCTAGCACGTGACTTCATATGAATGACACAAACGCTAAGTGCAAAACAGAAACATCACGTTCCGTGTGTGAAGTCGTGGAGGAAATTATCAAATTAACATCGACAGCAAGAAAACATTCCGAGAATTAGTGCATAAAAACTCAACTTTTCGCCTAAACACTGGTTAGGCTATTTTTTCCTATGCGTCACTAATCGGAACGGCATTGACACACGCCAACCATTCTATATCAGTCTC